CATGGCAAGGAACACCAAACCCAATTAACTCATTAAAACAAACACCAAAGGTATTGCATACCTTCTATTCGCCGGAAAGGGAAGCTATTCACTTTGCTATATTGGATTTTTCTGGGTTTGTAGTGCCTAGAGGCTGACCTATATGACTACTCTTGTTAGGAGAGGACAATAGCGTCACTTGAACCCTCTCTCCTTCCTTTCATCTCATCATCACCGACGCCCTAGCTGCTGCTCCTTTTGGCAATACCACTAACTGTCGGTTCCTCTGTTCTTGCAACTCCAATCTCATCCTCTCATTCTTTGATTAAAACCCAAGAATCATATCAATATAAGAGCTTGAAAAAACAGAGCTGAAATTGGAATATAGGTAAAGTAATTAGAGGCTATACAGACCTGGTTCTATTGGATTTGTGTCAAAATCGGTAGATCCTCCTCCGTCTCGCTAGCGTCCCAGCCTCGCTGAAGTCCAATTAGAAGCAAAAATTAAATATGACACAGTTCTAAACTTTAGCATGCTCATTTTGGCAATCCATTAATATCAAATATCCTTAGCATACCCATTTTAGCATACCCATTTTGGCAATCCACCTCGCAGATCTCTCCTCCCTAGTTCACTTTGATCCAAGCATCATCAAAAAGGAAATCTTAGGAAAGAAAAGAGAGCCACTCGTTGAAGAACTCAGATGCGATTCGAAGTTCCACTGGTTGGTGAGGTCGGAGGATGACGCTACATGTCGGAGCGCCTGGGAGGCATTTGGGAACCCAAATTATCGTTGAAACTTTAGAATCAGTTCCAATTTCCTCCTAAAGTCTTCAATATCGGCAGCAAAACAATCAGAGTTTTGATCGGAACAACGTGAAAAGCAAAGAATCAAAAGTAAACGGCAGGAACAGGTTCTCACCTTTGAACAGCCGGTCAATGGATCTAAGTTCACTTTCCTTTTAACGGGACCCCCAATCAAAACACATTTTCTTGAGCTAGTGGATTCAACCTCAATAAGATCCCCATTACAGAAGCAAGTAAACTGGGAGGAAAGCTGCCAGGGCGACAAACTGAGAACTATATATAAAAAAATCTTAGTAAATCACGCATGATAAGTAAAGGCACAAAGACATGTATAAATTTGATTCATGGCATTTACCTCAGTGAGAAACTAAGTAAAATGAAGTGATTATTCTATACACTCTCTGAAATCCAAAAGGAAAGAATGAACCTAACCTCCTCTGGAATTTGAGCTTGGATAATTGGCAATGGATTACCTTATATAATGAGTTGGCTTGCGGCAAACGTGGCCTTCAACTCATAGAAGCAGGGTTCGTGGCGGCGGGGGAGACGGTGCTCTTCCCATTCCTCTCCTCAATTACACGATTCAATTTTGTCTTCCCAAACCCTAGAAAGTTTACCCGCAAATATGCACCCCAAATCGATCCAGGTTCTCCTCAGAACCCCAAATTCCCGCCGCCTCCAAACCCTAACATTCGATCCATCGCAGCCCCAAACCCTCTGCTCCCTAAAGCTCTCCTTGATCCCCGACCATGGAAACCCCGACGCTTTCTACTTTATCGCCAACGGGAAGCTCCTCTGCGCTTGCCTAATCGCTTCTTCCATTTCTTCCGTAGATCGTATCTGTAAAAGGGTAAGCAACCTCCTTCCTTCTCCTCCATTTCACCTTTCCCCCTCTCTCTCTGTAATGTGGTTGCAATTGCGCTTCCCTTTCCGTGAGTTTCTTCTCTCTCTTAATAACCAAAGGTGGGCTTAATTTCAGTCAAACGAAAACTAAATGAAAATTAAATGATAACGTGGGAAACAGGAGAAAAGGTGGGGAGGGGCGGTTTCTTAGTTCTGGGCGGGGAGTTTTATTTTTTTCCCGCTTAACACCCTGCCACATCAGGGGTTAATTGCACATGATGCCACTTAAGTTTAGCATTTGTTGCACGATAACCACCTAAGTACGTTCGTTGCAACTAAACCATTCACGTCAAATTTCGGTAGCATCGTTATCATTTCCATCCCCATTATTAACGGTAGGCGCCAAAATGTAAATAGTCATGCCACTGGGACTGCCACATCAGCTGTAATATGCTGAATCATCAACGGTGGAGCAGTTTGTGAGGAGTGGCGGGAATGTGAAGGGACTGATTGTCGACGAGAACGGGCTGGATGTGGTGTATTGGAGGAAGCTGGAAGGGCAGAGCAAGAAGAATGGGTACCAGAAGAAGGTTGTCCAGTCTCCGCCACCACTCCAAAACAAGGCTCTAGCGCCGCCTCCGCTAGCTCCTCCGAGGAAACCAAACGCTCTACCGCCGCCTCCTCTTGGCAAGGCCGATTCTGCATCTAGACAAACGGCGAACGAAAGCAACGAAAAATCAGGCGAGTCATCCGGGCGCTGCGCTCAAGTGAAGTTGAAATCATTGCATTGGGATAAAGTGAACAAAAACAATGTCGATCATCCAATGGCGTGGGACAAACTCCACGGCTGTTCTTTCAGGTAAGACTAATTCAATTTAATTAATCTAATTAGTTCACTTATAATCTCAACAATTTCCTTAAAAGACTCCATTAATTCCTGGATAATGATTGTCAAAACGGGAATGACTGTTTCTGCAGAGTGGATGGTGATCTAATGGAAGCATTGTTCGGGTACGTAGCCACGAACATGAAATCCCCAACTAGTGAAGGCGGCGGCAGCGGCAGCAGCAGCAGCCATTTGAACAATCCAAACCATAACCAAAATCTCGCAGCCAGCCCAAGATCGTAGATCGTAATTCTCGACCCGAGGAGTCTCAGAACATCGCCATTGTACTCAAATCCATATCAATTTCTAGCAAGGAGCTTCTTGAGTCGCTGACTGACGGCCACGACCTGGACGCAGATCTTCTCGAGAAGCTCACTAGAATATCGCACCGACGAGAGAGGTAGAAACCCAGATCCTGGAAATCACCGGAGGCCCGACCCGACTCGCAGCTCAGGGCGATCCCCTCTGCATTACCCGCGTAAACGCCATGCTTTTCAGTTTGAATTACGCTTCGGAGGTTGCTTAGTTTAAGGAGTCGCTCCGTACTCTGGATTTGGGATGCAAGGTGCTCAGAAAACAGGGGATTGTTCAAGAAGCTTCCGGAGGTGATTCTGAAATCCTGGAATCGGATGAATGCCGGAACTTCCAGAGGGAACACTAAAGCTTTCAAGCTGAGCTCACTCACAAAGCTCTCCGACGGGAAGACGACTTCTGCTTCACTTCGTGGTGGAGGAAGGGGTGACTGGTGAGGGTGGAGGGGAAACGCTGCGGGAAGAGAGGATTGGTTTATTTATTGAATTTAAATGAGGTTGGGCTAGATATGAGTCAGCATACTACAATTGATGTGGCAGTCCTAATGGCATGGTTATTTTGCAATTTGGCACCTACTGTTAGTCATGGAGATGGAAATTGTAACGGTGCTACCGGAATTTAACATAAATGGTTTAGTTACAACAAAATGCACTTAAACGGTTATCCTGCAACAAATGCTAAATTTAAGTGGCACCCTGTGCAATTAACCCGCCACATCAGCTTCCTAAAATCACTCTATAGGCAGAAAAATTTGAATGGGGGTTGCAGTTTTACTTTTCAGCTATAAATTATACTGTTGATACAAGGTGATTAACGCTTTGAAATTATGAAGTTTTGCGGGAGGATAGACATGATGATCTCATAGGAGTATGAGTAAAGGGGTAAAGATGATCATGACTCCTAAGATACCTTTAAGGAACGACTTATTTTTGGGTGCATTTCCAATGAGCCAAAAATATATCATAAATGAGTTATGATATTAGCGAAATTAAGACTATCTTGATATCATTGAGCTCGAGTAAGAAGCAACCGATGACGCTCTCAATTTGTGAAGATGAGAATGTACATAGTTTTTTTTTTTTTTAAAGATGACAATATACATAGTTATTAGAGCTGGAAGTTTGGTACCGGTATTTGGGATATACCGAATACCGTATCGAATTTGTCTATATTTGGTATTATCGAATACACGTATTATTTCTTGGGATTGGGATTGGGATTGAGATTGAATTTCAATTGTTATTTGGTATTAGAAATTACGGGATTGAGATCGGTAATATACCGAAATACCGATCAATACCGAAATTTAAGCTAGTGTGTATTTTATCTTCTCGACTAGACTCTCTCATTCACTACTACATGACCCTCAACCACCAAGAGTGTCATTTAATTATACACTGATCATTCCATCACTATTAATAGTCGTCTCTCAACCTCCAATTCGTCAAATTAAAGATTACCAATGACAAGAACTTGAGATGTCTCCCCTCCTCCATTCTCCTGAATAATTTTCTAATTCAAGACTCTTCGCTTAGTCCCTTTCCCCTAAATTAAACTATAAAATCTAATTTATATATTTAATTATTAATTGCAAAGGTAATTAATTTCGTATTCGATAATAACGATTAGGATACCGAAGTACCGATTGTGATACCGAAATATTTAGGGATTGGGATACCAAAATTATTTAGGGATTGGGATTGGGATTGGGATTGACTTTGGGGTGTAATTCGGTATTCGGGATTTCGGTATTTGATATTGGGATATCGATACCGTACCGATTTCCACCCCTAATAGTCATAGTATCAAATGTAAGTATGGACCGAAGAAAAATTCAATCTTAACATATCCATTACATAACCCATTGATGTGGATAACATGACTAATTAACAATATTAATTTTGTGCATATTTTAAAACATATTTGCTTCATAATATTTTTTATTTTTTGGAAAGCACGATTAATGAAAACGTTAGTACATTACTCATACTTAAACCGCACTAACCAGTTAATGAAAACGACACAAATAATAAATTTCCCAATCCGTGAAATTAAAATAAGAATACAAGTGGTGCGCAGTTGGGACCGTCTTTCCTCCGTCCCTCCTCAGAAGAAGGAATAAAACCAAAGATATACCCTTTCAGAAAGAAATCGGATATTCCCAAATTACCCCTCGAATATTCCCCTTCCCCTTCTTCTTCATCCACAACAGTATAACTATCCCCTTCCTTCCCCCATTTCTCCCCTCTCAGAAACCCATACCTCCTCCAATTAATTCCCTTCTCACTTCCTCTCTCCGCATTTTCTCGCCGGCCAAACATCCCCCCATCTCTGCAATGAAGTTCGGCAAGAGCCTCAGCACCCAGATCGACGAGACTCTCCCCGAGTGGAGGGACAAGTTCCTCTCCTACAAGGAGCTCAAGAAGCGATTGAAGCTCATCGAGCCCAACAAGGCCGCCGCCGCCGGCGTGGGAGATGATAACAGACCCGCCAAGCGGCCGAGATTGGAAGGCGGCGGCGATTGCTCCTCCGCCTCCATGACGGAGGAGGAGATCGATTTCATCAGGCTCCTGGAGGACGAGCTGGAGAAGTTCAATTCATTCTTCGTCGAGAAGGAGGAAGAGTACATCATCCGATTGAAGGTAAAAGAAATGCTATCTTCTCTTCGCACTTTTTTCTCTCCACCATTTCCGTTTTCCCTGCAACGGTTCCTCGATCTGTTGGGAAAACTCTGTTTTCGCCGGCGGCGAGTAGAGGTTTTAGTCGTAATTGTGGAAACGGTGTCGTCGTAGTGATTTTAAGTTGGAGAGAGAGACTAGAGAAGTGTTAGATCTGCCGGACGGAGGGAGGGAAAGTTACTGTGACGGCACTGCCGGCAGTTAAGTCCGTTAAGTCATTCTCATTTTTACCGCGGGTCAGCTACCAATAATTAATCGCCAAGTGGCGAGTTTTTATCCTTTTTCCATGAACCAACTGGCTAGCGCCTAGCAGTAGGCAGTAGCACTCACATTTCTATATTCCTTTCGGATTAGTCCCGCGACAATATTCCCTTTTGGTCCCCACAAGTAGAATGAGCTGCATTTTCATACCTCTACTTTTCATTTTCTCTCGACTAGTGTGAACTGAGATTTGAGTAGAAACTGACTGGTTGACAACTTTCTTCCTGAATCAGGAGCTGCAAGATTCAGTAGCGAGAGCAAAGGACTCGAATGACGAGATCATAACGATTCGTAAAGAGATTGTCGATTTCCATGGAGAGATGGTTCTGCTCGAGAACTACAGTGCCCTTAACTATACAGGTAAAAAAAACCTCACAATCTGGTTGCTACCCTCCCTCCCTTAGTGTGTTCCAATCACCATTTCGTGAGGTCTCATTGCGATGAATTCATTGAAACAGGACTAGCAAAGATACTGAAGAAGTACGACAAGAGAACCGGGGCGCTAATCCGGCTGCCATTCATCCAGAAGGTCCTGCAAGAGCCCTTCTTCACCACCGACTTGCTGAACAAGCTTGTTAAGGAGTGCGAGACGATGCTCGACCGCCTGTTCCCTGTGAAATTAGCAGCAGCATATGGAGCAGCAAGCCGATCCTCGAGCGATGATGGTGATGGAGGATGCGCAGGTCCTTCAACCTCGGCTGCTACAAGCAATGTCGAGGACGGAGTGCTTAACGTGCTCCCCAAGGAACTTGCGGAGATCGAGCAGATGCAGAGCTTGTACATGAAGAGCTCCATGTCTGCGTTGAGGATTCTGAAGGAGATTCGCAGCAGAAGTTCCACTGTGAGTGTGTTTTCGTTGCCTCCGCTTCAGGTGAGTGGGTTGGAGGAGCCTTGGAACAAAGCTCCCATCTTGGAGCAGGTAGCCAAGTAGTAAAAGAAGAGCAGTTTGCAGAGATAAAAAAAATTAAAGTGTTTTCCTTCGTTTATGTAATCCCTGGTTAGTTTGTTTGTTTCAGTAGCTACCCACTTGTTCATGCACAGCTTTTGTGCATGGAGTTAGAGAATGATGAATGATATGATACTAACACATTAGAGAGATGTGTAAAGTGCTAAAATAAGTGAAGGATTCAAACCAGAATATCTCAGTTTAGTATAAGCAATATATTGGATAATTACACTTTTCTTTTGTATACATCAAATTTGTGCTAAGTTTCTTGGACTATTTATAGTGGATTCTGGTATTATACTGAAGGTCTCTGCAGAATCAATCTCTTCTGCAGAGTCTAGTTTATTGAGAAATGGGTTTGGGAACACAATTTGGAATGGATACAGAGGCTGCTTTTGCTGTAAGGTTCCGTGGAGCAAAAAAGCCCTAATACACTTGGGACGGAATCGAATCAGGGTTTTAACTTTTCCCTTTTCTCCTTTTCCCTTTCGGAGTAAGGCTTCCAAACTCCGACCAACTTCCAAGTTCCAAGATCTATCTATATAAATGTGAATGAAGTTAATAATTTTTGGGGTAATAAGATTTTGTGCCCTCTACTATTGCGGATTAACAAACGTGACCTTGTACTATGTTTTTTCACAAACATGTCCTTCTAATATTACAACGTAACAAAAATACCCTTTTGTTAAAAAATTCATTTTCTCAACGATAACTGAGGTATGAAATGACCTAACTACCCTTGACTAATTAAGGCCCTTCTAGTGGCTCTCACACTCGAAGAAAACCCACCCTCTCCGGATTCAGTCTTACCGTCGACAAAGCCGCAGCCGGCACTGGGAGCGCGACAAAGCCCAGCTTCTTCCTCATCCCAACCGACGATCTGTCCTCGATTGTGTCACCTGTAATACTAAAAAAATCCAAGGTATTTCGAATGTGTGCCCTAAAATTGCTATCATAACAAACATACAAATCTGAAACGCCACAAAAGTGAAGGATTCGATCCCCTGATCAAAATACAAGGGAACATTTTTCTGCCACGATTATATCAAACCTGTATGCGTCTCGGCATTTTGATTTGCTGAATCCTTGAGTCTGATTGATTAACTGCAGGAACTCCCAGAGGATTAATAACCACTAAAGAATTAGGGATTAAAAAATGGGGTTGGGTTCAGCCGTATCTCAAGTTGGGGGGATTAATAACCACTAAGTTGTGGGTGGACGGGGAAGTGTGGGTGGACAACGGGGTTCAGCCGTATCTCGTCCGATAGTGCTACTGGCCCTGCCAAAGGTCACATAGCCTGGTGGTAAGGGAGGAGGACTGGTGACCATAAGGTCCCAGGTTCGATCCTCACCGCCACCATGGTGTTCCCGGAGGCATCCCGCTATCACCCGGACTGCCGGCGGAGGTCCCGGGGTTTAGCCCGACTACGGCACCACAAAATGTGGTGACCGTGGAGGGTGTTCCTCGTTATAAAAAAAAAAAAAACAGTTGATGGATTTCGGTGCCGCTGGAGGAGTAGCAGGTGAGCGTCGGACGAGTGGGTGGACACCGGAGGTGAAGATGGCGTCGGCGCTGGCATTAGAGGGGCACAAAATGTTATTAACCCTAATTTTTTAGAAATAAGAATGGAGGAGATCCGTACTTTGGCAAATTGCCGGCAGAGCTACTGGGCAAGATAGCCATCGTGATGCCGCTGGATGAGGCGGCGAGGACCAGCGTCCTCTCCCGGCGATGGCGGAGTCAGTGGAGGCCGGAGTTGCGGAAACACCCACTTCGCCGGCAACAGCACCACCAAGTTCGTGCCCGGCGGTTACCCAGTCTCGTGCTTCGACACCGTGGGTGATTTCCTGAGCTGGGTCGACCATGTCATCCGCCGGCGAGAGCGCTTCCCTCTCCCCTGCCCGGGCCAGCCGTTCCGCCGGAAGGACTTCTCGATCGACTCGCTGGGGCTGAATTTCGAACAGGACGATCCCGATTGTGGATGGATCGAATTCAACAGGGATAGATCCAAAACGAGGGCGCCGTTGGTGAAAAGCCGGGCGAAACTGCTCAAACACTTGACCCTGCGGAACTGCGACATGGACATCCTCAGGGCCCAATTCCAATTCACCAGCCCACGCCGCGGAAGCTTTGAGTAAGATGATTAAACTGTTAAGAGGATGCCTAGTATGAGTAATATTGTGTTATAATACGAGTATCGTTATATAACTAGACAGAGTTGTCTTTTTGAAATTAGAGTTGTAGAAGTTAGATATTTCATTAGTTTCTTTGTGCGGGCTAGCTAGTTAACTAACTAAATCTTCTTTTATTGCTTTTGATATGATCAAATCAGGTGTCTAAGATCCCTCGTGGTGCAAAAGGGGCGGTTGATAGAGGCGAGATTTCTAACCGAGTTTATTGGTGGTATGTCGAGATCTCCGAGAGTTGACCTTGGAAGATTGCAGCATCGTCGGTGACAATTTACCGACATACCCAGGCAGTCGGCTGCTCATTGCGACCTATTCCATTGTGGGAAAAAATCCCACTGTACACACGTTCTTAAAAAAAATTCCCAAAATACATAAGTTATAAAAAAATTTCCCAAAGTACACATGTTTGGCATTCACCGTTTTTGACAAACGCAGTGAAGGTAATCACCGCGTTTGACAAAGACGGTGAATATTTCACCGTTTAAAACTAAAACGGTGAAGTATTCACCGCTTTTATAAAAAACGGTGAAGTATTCACCGCGTTTGTCAACAACGGTGAATACATCACCGTTTTAGTGCAAAACGGTGAACACATTCACCGTGGTTGCCTAAAGCGGTGATTGTTTCCCACGTTTCCCACCCCTGGTAGGTCAAAATTAGGTCACACCTACCTAGTATTCACCGTTTGAGACAAACGCGGTGATGGTGTTCACCGTGTTTGACAAAAACGGTGAATAGTAGCAAATTTTCCTATAAATACCAACCCACCAGCAGAAGCAAAAACTTACCACTCCCCCCTTCTTCAAATTTCAGCAAATAAATCGAGCATAATACACAGAACAGACATTTTTTGGTATGTCTCTTTTCGTATTATAGTCTAATTATGTTTTTAGTAGTTATAGTATGATTAAATTTTCGTATTATGTTGTTGTTAGTTAGTTGAATTTATGTTCGTTAGTTATAGTATGATTTAATTTTCGTATTATGTTGTTGTTAGTTAGTTGAATTTATGTTCGTTAGTTATGAGATGGATAATATTAGTTGTACAATATGATTTTGGTTAATTTTACTGTCTTTAAGCTAATAGATACTTATCCTCGATTTGTAGATATGGGTAAATTCAAGAAGTTTCATCTTACTATTCGGTGGAATGGAAGGGTGACAAACTCTGACATAGGCATTGATTATGAGGACGGCGAATCCATTATGCTGAACATTGGTTCCCGATTCAATTTTCAAGAACTCTGTGATCTTTGTGCAGAAAGGGTTTGTACGAGCGGACAGACGAGACTTGGCAAAATTACTTACCGGTATCCAGACATGAGTGCTGGCGGGCTCGTGTTCCAAGAAGTTGTCATAAACGATGATGACGCGGTTACGATGATGTTACAGTTCCTAAGCGATAACCAAGTCCGGCTTGCAGAGGTGTATGTTGAGACCGAGGCGGTCGGTGAATCTCATTCTCACCAGTATTCTTATGATGATGGTTTTGCAGGAGGGTACGAATGGGGTGGTAGTTCGAGCAACTACCAAGGCGGTGGTTATACAGGAGGTTACGGGGAGGGTGGTGGTTCAATCAACTACGGTGGATCGAGTAGTGCAGGATGGGACAAATACTCGCAACCTCCTCAACCAGCCGATGGTGTTGAATGGCCTGCTTGGGGGCCAGAGTGGTCTGAAATCGAGAATAACATTCGATCAGGGCGTACTTCGCATGAGCGAGAGGACGATGTTGGTGATCGTGGTCATGTTGATCCTTCTAGCCCGAGCTATCCATTCGAGTCGAGCGACGAGGATACTGAGGAAGATTTGAGATCAGTGAGCGAGGAGGAGGAAGATACTGATGATAACGAGGATGAGGCGGCATTTCGTGAGGCACCCACGCCATATTACACACAGGTTCCAACTCAATTTTTACATAGTCAGAATGATCCCCTGATTATGTCCCTATGCCAGTGTACAATCCGACGGCCAATTTGGAGGTGGGTATGGCGTTCCCATCGAAAGACGCTGTGCAGGATGCGTTTACAGAAGAGGCGTTGAGGCGCAATTTCGAGTGGAAGGTAAAATATTCTGACAGTAAACAACTACATGTCATATGCAAGCATGATGCAGAGGGTTGTACGTGGCAACTGCGGGCTGCAAATATGAAGAGAAAGGGTGCTTGGGTGATTCGCAAAGCTGAGACGATCCACACATGCTCCTCTTCTATACTTTCCCAAGATCACAGGCAACTAAAAGCAAAGAAAGTTGGGAGAACTATTAAGCACCTTATAGAAGCACAACCAGATATCAAGGTGAAAGCTATCATGGCAGAGGTGAAGGATCGACATTCTTACACGATACGGTACAAAAAAGCATGGCATGGTAAGCAGAAAGCCATGGCTGAGGTGTATGGTGATTGGGAGGATTCTTATGCTTTACTCCCTAGACTTATGGGAGCAATGGAGGAGTCCAATCCTGGGACTGTTTTCGTCCCAGTATACAACAATGTATACACTGAGGATCAAGTTCGAGTACAGGATAAGCTGATGTTCCATCGTCTTTTTTGGGCTTTTAAACCATGCATTGAAATTTTGGGTTCTGCATACCGGTTATTCAGGTATTTTACCAACTGGTGCCGGTTTTAAATGTTGTATGATTTTCTGTTACGTATATTTCATACTAACTAGATCCTAAATTTTTATTCAGGTTGACGGAACTTTCCTTACTGGGAAGTACAGAGGATGTCTTCTAATTGCAACTGGCGTTGATGGAAACAGGCGGATTTTCCCGCTTGCATTTGCATTAGTGGAAGGGGAGAACAGCTTAAGTTGGGCATGGTTCTTTGACCAACTACACGAACACGTGACATAATGGATATACAATCGAGGATCGTATATCTCGGCACCCATCTATAAAAAAGTAATGAAATCAGAGATTGTTTTGATAAAAAAACAAAAAATTAAATTGTTTCGATTAAAAAAATTCATAAACCAAAAACCTACACGAAGAGCCTCTTCGTCCATTTTTTGGCGTAGGCCGGACAGAGGTTCGACGATTTTAGGTTTGTAAGGGACGGGGGCTTTAGGGTCAAACTCTAGTAATTCTTTCTGATGTGGAAGATCGGACTTAGCCGCAACCACAGAGCATACTTAGAACGAGACTAGAGCGGATAAATTGAGGGAGAAAGAAGTGAAATGTTTGTGGGGTGAGTTGAAAGTGAAAGGGGAAGGGGGTATTTATAGTTGGGGGAAGGGGGGAGGCGCCTGCGCAGCATTCAATTGGAGCGCCTTCACCGCGTTTGACTAACGCGGTGAACTCACCGCTGTCAACAAACGCGGTGTATGTCGAGGGGACGTGGCGTGTTGTGAGGCGTCGGATCGTGGGAAGAAAACCACGATCCGCGTCTCACCGCATCCAACGGCCACGGTGAAAGCAAATTGGCCCGGATCGCTGACGTAAACAAACACGGGGTATTCACCGTGTTTGTCTAACGCGGTGAATACCCCGCGTTTGTCCACGTCAGCTCCTTCACCGCGTTTAATAAAAACGGTGAAGTCTTCACCGTTTCAGTTTAAAACGGTGAAGCCTTCACCGTTTTAATTAAACGCGGTGAAGCCTTCACCGTTTTTGTTAAACGCGGTGAAGGCATCACCGTTTTTATCAAACGCGGTGATTACCTTCACTGCGTTTGTCAAAAACGGTGAATGCCAAACATGTGTACTTTGGGAAATTTTTTTATAACGTATGTATTTTGGGAATTTTTTTTAAGAACGTGTGTAGTTTGGGATTTTTTCCTTCCATTGTGCATTTGAGATTGACTAGATGCAGTGGGTTCGAAGAGATTTATGCATTCGCATTCGGCAGAAGAAAGAGATATGCTTATCCGCTAGCGATCCACCATGAGACAGTAGAATATGACTTATCAGGAAAGATCACCACCGCTACCCGAACTGCCGGGACACGGACCTGAACCTGAGATGCCATATTCATAATGAATGCCTTGTTGATGCACAAGTTGTGGTTAGAGAATGACGATGAAGAGGAGATTGCTATGACAGATGAAGAGGAAGTTGCCTATAACTTTTATGATCGATTTGATCACAATTAGTTCTAAAATTACTACTATTATTATTACTCGTGAGAATCCTTGTGTAAAATTGTGCAATAAGTTGTATCAAACTACAAAAAATGATTCCATTATTATTATTATTATTATTATTTATTTTGTGTGCACAAAAAATTTATTATCATCTTGAGTTGCTTATGAGGCTATAACATAGCGGTCGTGCAACTAGTTTTCAGTTTGGAGTCCCTAGATTCGAATCCGAGGGACGACGCTCAGGTTCTTGTAATTTTTTTTTTATTATTATTATTATTATTATCATCTCTCATATCCATGGCATTTGAGATCTAGTGGTGTGATTTGTGGCCCTTCTCCAACCGATCTTCCTTTAGGGGTCATTTGCTTCATGGATTTGGATGATGGATTTGGGTACCAAACCCAATCCATCATGGATTTAAGAAAAATCCATTGTTTGCTTGCACCTTTTTTAGAGACCAAATCCGTGGGGCCCATGGATTTTAAGGGTCCAAATCCGTGGACCTCACAGACTTGTAAATCCCACATGTTTTTTTTACAGTGGTAAATCTTTGTTATTTTTATTCCTCAAACCAAAAGTCAGGATACATTAGGTAAAGAAAGAATCCAACACATTCAAAACAGTAATCCAATTCTCAGGGAGAGATCTCTGATTGAAAGAGCGTGCAATCCAATCCGCCCGAAAATTGTTCTTTCTTTGGATGAAGTCAACCTTGATGCTCGGCACACTATTAAGGATGGCGGTCATAACACTGATTCTTGCCGCACATGCCCACGACCAGCATTCTAGTGGCATTGTCAATGTCGTCACAAGGGGGAGACAGTTGGATTTCACGCATACCGTTGCGTTTAGTCTTTGAGCAGCTTTAATAGCTTCCTGAAGAGCCATAACTTCAGCTTCCATTGGCGAGGAACAAGTAACAGGACCAGCCGCGCCATCACACACCTGTCCATGGCCATTGATAATCACAGAACCATAAGCCGCCTCCTGGGATTCACTGAAGAATGAACCATCACAGTGAATCTCAAAGATGGGATTGCTTGGCGGTGGAGCGGGGGTGTTCGGGGGGGGGGGGGGGGGGGGGGGAGTAAGCTGATCCGTGGGATGTCTCTGCTGTAGGGGGACCTTCAGACATTTTGTCCATTGCTTCAGATCACGAGCAGTGTTGGAGCACGAATGAGG